ATATAATACGAAGTAGGATATATTCAAAAGTGGACGATAAGTCCATACCAAATTGCAGCTTGGTAGACCTTCCCTGTAGACCGATAAGAACAGAAAATCACAAGTCAAAATTATATGAAATTAATACAATATGATCAAGAAAAAAATATATAATGGCTTACAGTCATATATTCCAGTAAAAATTAAATAAACAGACAAATCAAGTTTGGTAGAACATGGTAAGTTGCACCACCGCATGCAAGAAATGCGGTTAAAAATTATACATGTAAATCAACTGACATGTACAAATATCAAGTGCCACTTACTATACTTGCATCTGTCAGAAAGCATTCACTTAGCAAACCTATAGCCATATAATCTCATTTATTAGTTGTTCAAGTCTTTTATACTCTACAAAAGTGCATATTTTCTCTGGTACTCCACGTACCTTAAAAAGGGAACGAATTAAGTAGCCAACTAGCAGATCTGTAGATTATAAATGTTGCAACTCAGATAATGACCAAATATTGTGCACAACATATTTATTTCCTAGTACACTCCCAAATCTGAAAGTAGCAAGACCACAATAGAAGTTATGACAAATAAATTGTTATGGATCAGAAATTTCTCATATTTCTAATGATATACATTAAGCTCCACCACAATTAACAAAAGAGAATGCAAGCAAATTCACAATATCATAAAAATTGGTCATCCTAAACCAAAAACAAAAGCTCAACCAAAATTAAATGCCAAAATTTCAAGTGTTTAGAATGAAATAATCTATTTCCACATACTTGAGGAATATACATTAAAAAAAGAGCAGTGATAAGATGCATCACAAAGAAATTGAATTCTTGATATCTACAGGTAAAGCCTAGTAGCTGTTGGGAAGATTCTTTCATACCTACAGCTGAGAATAACTATTTCCCCCGAGATTGATGAAAAACCTCATTTGGTACGAGTAGAAAGGCGAGCGATGGTGAATAACGATACATGGTCCTTTTGAAAGAAGACTTCTCAAAAGACATCAAAGTAGCAACATCAGAAAATAAAAGATAATCTCCATAGAGGATCAAAAGTACCCGTAAAATGGATGAGAATATGAGCAATCATTGAAAATTAATCACCATGGATGTTGTATGGGACAAAAATCTTGTTGGAGTAAGTTTAAGTAGGCAATCCAATTTTTTTACTAACTATCAATGACTTAACACTCATTAATTCAGTACAAGTATCAAAGCCAATTCTATGAGTGAAATATTTGTGTTGAGAAGGGTAAATTAAGTTTGTTTGAAGTTAAATAGTGGGAAAAGAACCTGAACTAAAATAAAGTAATCACAATCTTATCTTACACCCAAACCAAGTGCTAATAATGGCAGTCAGTAGAGGCTCAAAGCCAGTGGTGCACATTGTCCATAAGCTACTCAACAGCTTCAACTTCTAATCTTGTATTGTATCACCAAATGGATACAAGATTAGACGTTAAATACAACCTGGCATGAGAGATAAGGAGATCCAAATTAAAAAAGGAAGTTAAATGTTAGAATTCATACTCCATGCTTACAAGATTAGAATCCTTATTGATTAATATCGTACCTTCTTAAGAATTAAAAATGTGATCGACTCTAATGCCATGAGTTACAATCGAGGTGCTAACTTTTTGTGTGAAGATTAAAAATTAACACTAATATTAAGTTTACCTCTACTAGACCACTAATATGAGTTTTCTTCGAAAAAAAATGACCATTAATATGAGTAAAAGCTAAAGACCACACACTGTAGACACCCATTTGTGTTTCCCCAAACCAAACCCAGTGATGAGTACCTTTCACGTCGAATCATAATCGAATGAAGTGAAAGTGTGGAAAGTTTAGTGTTGCGGATAATTTTAATTTCTTTTCACTTCTCTCTGTTTTTGAAAACTTATTTTAAGAAAACAGTCAATACAGTTTGATTGGTCCATGATATGGGTCCAATAGTAGTGTAGTTGGATGGGGCTTGACAAGAGCTTTCCAACGATATATTATAAGCCCGATTCCGATGAATATTGAGGAAGTTATGGCCAATTTACTGAACTGGGCCCGGTTTGAGCCTTATACGCGGCCCAATGATCTAGGGGAGGGCCTAATATAGATTTATCATTCCTAATGCAATTAGAATGATTTTAGTCTTCTAGATTCTTCTAGAAGGTTCTTTTCATTCCTAATTTAATTAGCATTGATAAATTGACTTTTGTTGACTTTTCAGAGTTTTATTTAGAATCAAAGAACATATTTTGAGGAAAATACGATTTTATCCTCCTGTACGATAATTTTTATCTGATTTTAAGAAAACGCGTGGATTTTTGAGTCAGCGCCAAACGCCATCTGTAGCGCCTAACGCTACGATTGGCGCCTGGCGCTAGACTTGGCGCCTAGCGCCAATCTTAGCGTCGGCGCTAAGGTCAGCGTCTGGCGCCAACTCAGTTTTTTTGCGTCAGAACTCTGTTTTGATATTTTATCTTTTTGGCTGATTTTCTTAATAAATAACGTCATAAAAACTCCGTTTTCAATTACCTACAATCATCAATTCTCATCAATTCTTATTCTTTCTAATTCTCATCAAGAATTTCTTGATTCTCTCTCTCTTTCTAAACCAACCCTTTTACAAACACAATTCCTCATACATTAACACTAGACACACCTAGCCAAGTTCGAAGTTGCCTTCGCCCTAGACGTGAAAGGTTTAATTTCTGAGGGTTTGGTCCCAAATCTCTCTTTTAATTATTTAATTTAATTGTTGTTTGATATTATTATTTTCCTTGAAGTTACTAACGCGTGTATTTTGTTATTAGAAAGAGGTACGAGGCATCCAAGTAAGTACTTTAATGGTTTAATTGATATTATGATATAGAAATCATGCTTAGATTGTTATTTTGATTCCTAGTATCATGTTAGGATGTTTTATTGCTTCCTTGTATCATGTTTAGGATAAAGAATAAGTTCCTTAAATCAAGTATGATTGTTATGATGCTTCCTATTTCTCTTCCTAATATTTATGATTGTTAGTATCATGTTAGGGTTAAAACTTTGATTTTTATTGCTTAATGACATGCTAGGGTTTGTTATTAATCTTGTTAGTATCATGCCTAGGATCTTGCTAGTATTATGTTTTAACGTTGATATGATTATTTTAATTATGATTTATGATTATGATTTTATGGTTATTATTTTGATGATTATAATTATTATAATTTATTGTTATTATGTTGCTTGATATTTATTGTTATTGCTTGATCACGCCTTTTATGATTGTTATTGCTTGACCCTAGGTGGCAGCCTCGGTGGTTTTGGGTTATTTGAGTGTGTGTGTGTGTTTATTTTTATTTTTTTTATCTTTAATTATTTATTTTTTGACTAATAACATGCTGACACATCTATATTAAAACTTTTAAAAAAAAAATTACCTCCTCAGCAGGATACCGGTCACCTGGGAGTGTTACTGGCGGATGGGGTATAAAGTTGGAATAAATAAAAAAATAAACGAAAGTTGGGATTAATATTGGCGAATGAGACAAAGTTGAGATTAATCATGACAATTTTTCTTTTAGAAAAAACTATTAAATTGTATTCTCTCCGTTTTAAAATACTCGCTCCACTTTTCTTTACCGGTCGTTTTAAAATACTTGCTCCATTTCCTTATTTGGAATTTTTTTACAATATCTAATTAATTTCTCTCACCAGGTGGACCCAACAATATTAATTCTATATTCACTCTTCAATTGCTCTCCTCTATTTTTGTTTTTTAACATTTTTTTATTCTTCAACCAACCCTACTACTTCTATATTTTATTACTTTCTCCAATTTCTCCTAAAACTCAGCGTATAGAGAAATAGAACAAGTATTTAAAATCAGAGAGAGTATAAAAGATGAAAGGAAATAAAAAGATATATGCATCTCTTAGGGCTACATGTAAGAAGTTATAAACTATATATAAGAAGCTATAAGTGAAAAAAATAGACAATATATAAGCATTTATTACACTAATTTACTCATGAATTATTAATAAATTAATTTATTTAATAATACTCTCACTGTTTTTAAATACTACGTACTTGCTCCATTTCTCCATGCATGGAGTATTAAGAGAAATTGGATAAGTAATAAAATACGGAGGTAGTATTAGGAGGAAGAATAACAAATTGTAAAATAACAAAAGTAGTTTAGAGAATTGAAGGAGAGATAATATAAAATTAATAAAATATGATTTATGTTGAGTGTACTAGGTGAGAGAAAGGAATTAAATACGGAGTATGTAAAAGCTTTCTAAATAAGGAAATGAAGCAAGTATTTAAAAACGGCCGGAAAATGAAAATGGAGTAAGTATTTAAAAACGGAGGGAATAATAAAAAAATACTTCCTCTGTTAATGGTTAATTGCAACAAAGGAATATTTTATATCTCACAAATATACCCCTTTGTAGCAATTAACCATTAACGAAGGAAGTATACCAAATGCTTATGGGCGTGTTTGACACTAGCGTTTGAGTAGCTTTTAGTGGTTTGACTAACAAAAAATGGAAGTGTTTGACAAAGTAGTGGTTAAGATAGCTTTTAGTAGTAAAACGGTAGCTTTTATGAAAAGTTAGAAATATTAGTTTTTGAAATTAGAGGTAGTTTTTGAGGTAGCTGTTGAAAATTTAATCTATACTACTGCGTATTAAATGTAAAATATTGATTTTTAAATGAAACAACTAATCAAGTGTTACTTTAACGAACACTCAGATCTAAATTATCTATCTTCATAGCTAACAGCTAAAAGCTAACTCTTCACAGCGAATACGCGTTATATATAGCGAATCCAATAAATTTCACAAGATTATGGCCGTGATGGGGATCACCGTATAACCATACGTATTTATCCTAAAATTAGATTAAAAGTTGCGAATTTCGAGTGGTTGTTAAGAAGAAGACACGCAACATTATTTAGGAGCAACTCATTCCCACGTGTCTTGCCGACCCACGAATAAGATGACAAAACGACACGCCAAAAATAAAAAATAAATTTTACTCGTTTTTATACTATAATACTCATATACTATAGTACAATACTCCTCATTTTACTTATTTAAAATTTTTACCTCAAAAAATCCGTGTTTCAGTTATGTACGCATAGAATCGGCGCTGTTGTTGTTGTCTTTCTCAATTTCGTCGCCCCTTTTTTTACCCACTTCTCATCGCTTTTCTCTCTCCTCTTTTAGATTCCTTCTGCTACCAAGATTCTCTTGATTCTTCGTTATTCCTTTTGGAATTTCTCAATTCGATTCCTTCATTTTTCAACTGGGATTTTTGTTTTTACTTTTGTTTTGATTTTCAGCGTTTTTCTCCTTTCTTGTCGATGATGCAGCGAATCGTGGATAACGCCATTGCAATTACTAAGGAGTAAGTCGAATTTTGATTTCCGATATTTTTGATGTTTGATTTTAAGCATTTTTTTTGGATTGAATTGGATTTTTCGAGCGTGATTTCATCTGGGTATGTTGCGGATGTTGAGGGAATTTCATGATGGTTTTATATTCGTAATTTTTTCAGTTATTTGTGCATTGTTTTATTTATTTTTTTGCTGTAATTACGGAGTTATTTAACGAATTTTGGCTTTGAATTAATGAGTGATTTGTAGGTTTTTTTTTCTTCTAATTTTATGTTAACTGTAATGAAGTTGATTGCTATCATCTTAATATGATGTTGAGCTAGAAATATTGCCGTAAGAAATGCGAAGTATGATTTTGTGGAGCGATTAGTGTTATGAAATGATTGATCATGAAGTTTCTGGAACACAGCGGAGCTGTAGAGCTTGTTGTAAAGTAATAGTTTAGTGGCATTGTTGCTGTTGAAGATGTTAATTGAGTGGTACGGAGTAGTTGAACATGTTTATTGAGTGGTATGTGGGTAGTTGAAGGTGTTTATCGAATGGTACGGGGTAGTTGAAGGTGTTTATCACATGTTACAGGGGTAATTGAGGATGTTTATGTAGTTGCGTAGGTGCTGTCAAAATTGATATCCATCCCTATGTTGTTATCCATGGTTATAAAAAGCCTCTATAACTATATATGTTTCTAATATTTGATGATTTGAGGTTGCCAAGACGTGCCATGAACTTTATAGGAAGACCTCCTTAAATGAGTTCTTAAGGACAGTGGTTTCGTAGTGGTGGTGAATGTATTGTTTGCTGTTGTAGGAAGATGTACTTGATTGTTCGATGTTGGAAGTACATGATTCATTTTGTTTGTGGTGCACTGGTACCAACTGGTTTAGTTTTTTTTTGGGATTGATGAGGATTTATGATTAGGATGAGTGTTGTGGGTCTCTTTTGAAGTTACCAAACAATGCTACCTTATAATCTTTCCAATAAAGTTTCTTTACACGTCCACTATTTTGTAGTCCATTTGTGTTTCAAATTGCTTATTGCTGTGATATTGAGTACTCTAATCTGAGTGACGTCGGGGGCATTTGGTTTACCTGGTTATTAAGTAGGGTAGCCCAATGACAATAATAGGGTTAGGGTCATGCTTAAAGGGTTTTTAATGGACACAACCGGTAATGGATAGCGACCTTATTAGGTAGGGTCAATATATGGCTAAAATGTTTTTCCAATTTAAGAGAAAAAAAAAAAAGATAATGTAAAATTAAATACATAGATAAATTTGTATTCATATAAACTTAATAATGGCTTTGTCCAATATTTTATTTGATTGATATTTGTTGGCCTGCCCATTATCAACCCACTATTGACCTGTGTTCTGCATTGGCTCGACCCGCTATTGTCCTGATGAAATTTGACCCTCTTTAACCCGACCTGCAATCGACCCGATCCCCGACCCAACTAATAACCAGGTCTATTTATGACTGATATAGGTTTGGAATTAGGAATTAAACCATAATGCTATCAGTTTAGAACTTGATACTAAATAACCATGTGTTTGGTAAATATCTAAGATTGTTTTTTTCTTCCTTGTATATGATACCTAAAGGTTTGGTATGTGAGCAAAAGCCACCTTCCCCTTGGTTTCTCAACCCCATATTCTTGAGGGTTATGGGTATAAATTTATAAATCTCTCAATAGTTTTAGCCATTCTAAACCTATACTTTATACCAAAATTACATGAACCAAACACCACCTTGGTGTTTTCACTAGATACTTTAAGGGGTCTTTGGTTCACTTCAAAGTGATTTAATTTACAAATTTTTAATATCAACTCTTCAATCTTCTTGATCCCAAAATCTGATTTGCCAGCTAAATGAACCAACACGAAGACTTCCTAGGATGTCACTCATCCTAGTGCTACTCTCAATCATTTTGGACTATCACTGTTCTACCGTAACCCTTCTCCTATATACAAGCTTGGGACTGGTTTTCCTGCTGGCTGAGTTAGTTAGTGAATCGAAGAAAATATTAATAATTACCTCTGCCTTAAATTATAAGCTGTTGTAGTAGCATAAAGAACTGCAGATTGAGTATTTCTTGCATTTTTAGGCCTAGTTCTCTTCACTTTTAACTCAATATTTAGTAAAAGTCAGTTTAATCAGTAAAAGTTAATTCCTAATAGTGAAAAACTGAAAAAAAATAAATAAATAGAATAAGCTCTAATTTGTAACATTTGGTAACATCAACAATACAATTTTTCAGATTACCACTAACTCAATGTGAACCATACACACACACCAATAAGAAAACGGAAAAAATATAGAATTTGAAGCCAATTCACTTGAAGTCCACAAAACTTTAACACTATCTTTAGGAATATACTGTTGCAATCATCTTCTTCTTCTTCTTTCTTTCTTTTTATTTTTTTTTATATTAAAAAAAAAAGATTTTTCGGAGTAAGGACTATACTACTCGAACCATCCTCTTCTTCTTCTTTACCAGATTATGAACTATAGCTAAATTGTACACAGGCTGCTTGAGAATTTGAGTTGCAATTGCTGATTTGTGGAAATTAGTTTGGGGTCGGCCGTTGGAGAAAGTTAGGTATAGCCGCTAAGGAAGCTAGACCACACCCTTTAATTGTCTATGGAAACAGGAAATTCAGTTATCTAAATAAGTGAATTCGAGGTCGGCCGTTGGTGATGGTTAGGTAAATATCTAAATTACTGAATTCAACACTAATAGGTACAAGCTTGGAAATTTAGTTAATATTTGATGATGCTGTAATTCTAGTATAGGGGACTCAAGAGTTTGCATGATGCAAGTTTTACTCCCCTAGTTGGGTCATACCCTCTAGGCCTCTATGATAAAAATTAAGCTTAGGAAGAAGGCTAAAGCTTATCCTCATTAAACCAATTTCTACATTCATTGTGTTGGAGCTTCTTTCACTTTAGTATCTTTGGTTTTGCTTCCATATTGTTTTTTAAATGTACACACATTTATTCAAAAGAGTGTACTTGGTGATTGCTAAAGTCCAATTTACTCATATGAGGATGGGATTAGGGTGCACATAGATGCATTTGATGTTCAAGATGATGATCGTTTTCTTCTATATATGCTAGCATATTTATAATTTATTTTAACATTTCTGCAGGTCAGTGAAGACAGTTACCTATGAGTCCTTGAACAATATAGTTAAACTGATAAATAGCATCTCAGCAATTCTGCTAGCCATTTTGCCTGGGAAGGCCTCTATTCTGGAAGGTCTTGAGATAAGACCTACTTTTCGTGGACCTCGACTTCCAAGGTGGATGGGAAGGTAGTATTTACTTGATCAATAACCTGTAACAATTGCACTTTCTGTTTGATTGTTCGCTTGTTCTATTCATTGTACTCCCTCAGACTTATGCTTCTTTTATCACTACTGGTTGTTTCTTGGCACTTTCTTCAAAGGATTATAGCAAAAAGGCATTAACTGTGATTGTTGCAATAATCTGAAATTATTTGCCTTTTGCTCTTAATGAACCTCTGATAGTATTAGTATCTACTAGGAGTGTTTTATGCAGTAATGCTATAGTTTGGTTGTAGGGTAACAAAGGGGAAAAAGTAAGGATCATAAAGATTGAGAGATATGTGGTTATATATTCTTAGGGATCTATCTTCATTTAACAGATATGCTACTCTTGTAAATACAAAGCACTTGTTAAATGTGTTTGGAGCTTCTGAACTATGTTTGCCTATTGTCTGTGAGCCATGTTCCATTACTAAATTGATACAGGATTGCATACCTTATCGTTTTGTTTCAGTTCTCTCTCTCTCTCTATGTGGATTTTCCTTTTTTTTAAAAAAAAAAAATAATATAAAATAAAATAAAAAATATTATGAATCAGATTTATTCGTAAATTATATGCTTGAAGTGCAAACTGCATAAATTTGAGTGTCGTAACTATAATCTAGTTGAATTTCCTAAATATGGAAAAAAATGTGCCTCTCTTGTAGTAAAGAGGAGTAGAGGGCTATGAAAAATAGATATTAAGCAACATGTTGTGACTCTTTGTTTCTACTATGTTATTAACTTTTGACTTTTCTTTGTAATGGTAGTGGTGTTTCTTCCTTCAACCAGTTGATTCATGATCTGTCTGTGGATTCTGATACCTCAAGTGTGGAATACTCCTCTGGGGAAGAGGATGATGGATACGCATCACCTGCAACACCTAGATCTGAAAGCTCTCGAGCTTCATGGGCTACCAATATGAGAGAGTATGATAATCATCAGACATTGATTGGGTATATGCTTTCGTGGATTTTATTTCCCTTCACACTTATGTTGGGGTTTCCGTTTTGGCTCTACCGTCTAATCTTAAGAGGGAATAGGTCCCAACATGCCGAGTGTCCTTCACCTATTCATTCTCCTAGAAAGCTGCCTAGTCTGAGGGATCATTTTGTTCATCGTGCTACGGACCGCAGAAGAGGAGTTATTGAGGTCTCCACTTTTTCTTTTATATAACTAGTATCTTTACATTCTTTAAGTTCTTTGTAAAGTAAAATTTGGCCAATGGTGGCTTTTAGCATTTTTATCATTTTGCTTTTTTGAAACTCTCAGGATCTTCATCTAGCTACTGAAATTGTTATAGAAGCTGTCTTTGATGCCGTCCACAAGACTGCGCATTTTCTTCTTTCTCCATCAGAGGCTTTTAGAATTATATCTGGATTGATTTTTCCTCAACGGAGTAGCAGTATTTATGTCCATGAGTCTGTTGAAGATATCCCTACAGCTGTACTTGGAGATCATGAACCGGCTCCTACTGAGAGGAAAACGACATTTCATCCACTTAATACAGATGCACGGACTTGTCAAGATGTCATCACAGAATTTGGGTAAGAATGACTGTTGTATGCTTCTGCTGACAGATTCAAGCTCTTGTCTTTGGTTTTCTTTTGTAAACTATGTTACATATTTGGACGCACTCATGAAGCAATAGGCTTACCTGTTTAGTTTTTCTACCTTAATAATGTTAGTATTCAATATTCATGGTTCTATGCACATTGTAGGTATCCTTATGAAGCTATCCATGTGGTTACAGAAGATGGGTATATTCTTCTTCTGGAAAGAATTCCAAGGTATGGTGTCGTTCTTAGTTCCTAACTTTTTTTTTTTTTTTTTCTAACGTCTTTTATTCCACTTTTCTTGGATAATTTAGTGGTATAATGTCACCATTCTCATGGTTGCAATGATTTTTCCAGACGCAATTCTAGGAAGGCGGTTTATTTACAGCATGGAGTACTTGATTCATCTATGGGGTGAGCTGTCCCTGCCCTTGTTAATTTTGTATATTATACAGTAAATTATTGCAGTCTACAATTTAATGATGAAACTTTGTGCTTTGATCATTTCTTGGAATTTCTGAAAGTTAGTGGATGGTTTTGGACATGGTGTTTTGGGGTTGATTTAACAGGAAACAGAAATTGACTTGAATTGTTTCTATATTTTGGGAAATGGGACAAGTAAAGAAATATTTTACTATCTTAGCTACTTATGTGAAGATGTTTCTACGCACCCACCTGGTGCACCAATTGTTCCACACTCATCAATCTATGTCACTTTAGGTTTTTTTCTTTCAATTGTTGAGATGTTTGTTTGAGATTTTGATGCCCTTTGCTATGTTAAGTAGTAGGTGGTGATCCCTTGTATTTTTGCTATGTTAAGGGTTTGTTAAGTTAAGAAGAGCATGCAATATCTCCTTTGATTTGCCATTGTTTTTCCTCTTGTTTTTGTCCCTCCCCCCCCCCTCCCGACGTGGAACAATCAATCTTTACAAATCTGGATCTAACTTACTTTTTGGCTGATGGGCGTTTTTAATATCCAGTCTGTGTCGTGTCAAACAAAGTTCTTCTATTTTAGTTTTTTTTTTTCTTCTACTAGTGAAGCCTTCTTGTCTCTTTGACCACATTTTAGGATCATATTTGATTAAGGATAGTGGATAAGGAAATTACTCTGAGAGCTGAGGTCACTGTGAAGCTGGCATTTGCAGTGAAATTTGTTTGTTGGAAAACAAGATTTTTGTATGCATCTCCTAAAAGCTTCAGCCCTTTCTGCGTTCTATTAAAATTAAATATGATTCTATTTGCCTGTTGCTACTACACTGCTGGAATGCTGGTTCATTGCTGACTGAGAATATCTAGCATATAAGAAGTTATGATGAATTCTGTCGCTGTGCATGAATGTGGCATGTACATCTCGACAGTATTAAAACGGGGTTTTAATGATTGATTTTTGTTTGTGTGAATGTGAGTGAGCAGATTTGGCGTAGGTGGCCAAATTCTGCAACTTCTGGTCTGTTTTGTAAAGTTCAGTTTACACATGTACTAATAATTATTCTCTAGTTCTCTACTCCCATGAGTCCCATCCCATATAAAGTGCCAAAATTCCATTTACTTCTGGCCCAATTAAGTTGTAAAATCACGCTTTGCTGATTTGTGACCTGCTAGAAGTATATATCGTATCTGTAATTTTATTTCCCATTTTTTTAGCTTCCATTTACCTACACATTTACTAGTGATTATTTTATACTCAATTAAAATGTGTCCCAATTAATTTCACAATATTTGGAAAGTGGAGTCCAACTTATAGTGACATATTTTCCCCCCAGTAAATTACACATGTCCATCGATTTGACCCCATCAAATCTCCCTTCGGACCTTCTTTACTCCATTACTTCTAGTGCCTTTAATTTGTGCCTTATTCATTTGTGGCACTTAAATTGGGATGGATAGAGTATAATTTTCTAGATTGCAAACGATAAATTGGCGTAATAATTTGTCATCAATTCATCATATTTGGACATTAGATAAGGTAAAGTTCAAAGAAAAAATGACTTACTTCAAACTGGAAACTCCGGTGTGCTTTAGATCGCTTTTAAGTCCTTTTTTTTTTCTCTTGACCAAGCCTAATTGAAAATGATATTTAAATGGTCATTGCCTTCACTAGCATACTGTTACATAGCTAATTTTTGTAGTTCGCATGATTTTGCTCCCCTGATTTTGCAATAAAAAATACCATCTTCAGTTCCTCTAGCTCCTCTTTTTAACTTTTTCTCTTTCTCATTTAGTTGGGTGTCCAATGGAGTGGTGGGCTCTCCCGCTTTTGCAGCTTTTGATCAAGGTATGCTGAGTGTGCTTTTTTATTTATTTTTTTTTTTTTCTCTTTTTTCTTTTCCCCTATGCTATGGTGTAACATTGCTGTTATACTTCTAATTAACATGTCTGTTTAACAGGGTATGACGTATTTCTTGGGAATTTCCGTGGTTTGGTCTCAAGAGAACATGTTGACAGGAACATTTCATCAAGACAGTGAGTTCTTTTATACTGCTGTAGTTAACCTTGTTTCCATTGTTACTTAGCAAGTTAGCAACTAAGACAAAACAAACCTGTTACAGTATTCTGCAGTCTGAGATGCAACGGTGGTAAGACTAACTGTTTATTTATGAAATAGGTATTGGCGGTATTCTATCAATGAGCATGGCACTAAGGATATTCCTGCTATGCTAGAGAAAATTCATGAGGTGAAAACTTCTGAGTTGAAGTTGCAGTACCCTGACTTTGATGAAGAAAACAGTGATGAGGCACCATATAATCTGTGTGCAATCTGCCACAGCTTAGGAGGAGCTGGTATTCTTATGTATGTAATCACGCGTCGAATTGAACAGAAACCGCATAGGCTTTCAAGACTGATATTATTATCACCAGCTGGTTTCCATGATGATTCAAACCTTGCGTTTACTGTGGTTGAACATCTATTCCTCGTATTGGCCCCCATCTTAGTTAAGATCATTCCAGCTTTCTATATACCTACACGATTCTTCCGTATGCTGCTTAATAAATTAGCACGTGACTTCCATAATTACCCTGCTGTTGGTGGTTTGGTCCAAACTCTTATGAGTTATGTTGTAGGAGGAGACAGTTCCAACTGGATTGGGGTCCTAGGTTTACCGCACTACAACATGAATGACATGCCAGGAGTATCATTCTACGTTGCTCTTCATATGGCACAGATGAAGCGAACTGGCAAGTTTAGGATGTTTGATTATGGGAACCCAGATGCTAATTTCCAGGTTTATGGATCTCCAGAGCCAGTGGATTTGGGGGAATTCTTTGATCTTATTGACATTCCTGTTGATCTTGTTGCGGGTCGGAAGGATAAGGTCATTCGTTCATCAATGGTCAGAAAGTATTACACTTTGATGAAAGCAGCTGGAGTAGATGTATCATACAATGAATATGATTATGCCCATTTGGACTTCACGTTTTCTCACCGAGAGGAACTCTTGGCATATGTGATGTCCCGTCTACAGCTCGTTAAGTCTACTCCCAAGGAACGTCTAGGTTGTGTAGATGGAGGGTTGGAGGAAAAGCAACAACTAGGTTGTGTAGATGGAGGGTCAGAGGAAGATTTGCACGAGCATTCTGATTAATGAGGGTATCTTATTTATACTTGTTATTGATGTGGTAACTGTTGTGAATGTCCTAAAGGTGTAGACTGGTGTACATAATTACAGTTGCGTCTTTTGTCACATCATCTTTAGATTTAGAATCGGCTTCATGTTGATCATGGCTTCCCGTTATTTTATCTGAGGGAAGGCGAAACTTTAGAAGCGTCTGTTTGAAGCAACATGTCAGCAGAAGGTAAACTTGTAATTAGTTCCTTGATGGATAAAGTAACATTCCTATACTGTACGTGGCTGCTGTTGAAATGTGGTAAGACTTTACGTAGTATGCTGATACCGAGTCTCTTTTAGACTAAACCTATACTTGTTCTTCAGTCCTCCCTACATTTATGTATGATGTATTTAGTTTTTGATTCACATTGTTCTAATGATTGTAGAACTCAGGTTTCAATATACCCTGAATTGATGCATTTTGTACTCTGTAGAATTGTTTTTATAGCCTCATCATTATGCTTGATGATTTTGAATATTGTAAAGATGATACAAAAGTCATATGTGCCAAAACTTCTACTACGTAATATTTGTTTACTGAATATTGTACCAAATATAGCCCGAGGGCCTTGTTTCATTTTATTTTATTTTTTAGAAACTTATTTTAGACAAAATAAGCTCAAAATTTTTCAAAGAAGTTTAGTTTGTGGACACAGAATAAGAATACGGAGTAAATGAATTTGCATGTAAGCGTTCCATTCGGATCGGCCCTTCTTTGTTATATATACTCCTAGTTTTGCTTAACTTAGTAACGTGAAAACTAAATCCGAATAAAACTAAATCCGAATAAGGGGCATGTAATCGCTTTGTGATGCAAATAGAGGAGATGGTGAATGGGGGACAAAGAAATGGGACCTTATATCACATGGGAGTGATTTAAATTTTGTATGTGAAGGACAGGGAGCATTATTAAGGGTGATTTTAATTTATATAATATATCATAAAAGTTGAGATGATGAGTAAATTGGTATTTTTAAGCCGAACCCAAGTTGGCAATGTATACATACTGATACTGCGCTGCATGCAGGCAGAGGCACTGCAGGTGAGGCCAACAATTTAGTAAGTAATAGCAGCTTTATTTGCTTGCTATTGCCTATTCCTCCATTTCTCCCATCCCCTTTTTCACTGTTATCATGCATTCAATCGTCCTCGGATTAATAATATGTAATATATATTGAAAATAAGCTTTTATACCTAGTAATAAAAGTTATGTGATAAAAAATAAATATAGATGAAATTAGTTACATATACTATAATACTGTATTATTTAAAATATATATTTTTCAATCACTATTGAACAGCAATACATATTTTGGGATACATATCCCATATATATATATATATATATATATATATATATATATATATATATATATATATATATATATATATATATATATATATATATATATATATATAGGTTTTAGATTATTTTATGTATGAGCAAATAAAAAAAATTAGATACGTGACATAGCCTACAAACATCTTTGATCACTATGTATATTATAAAAGTTTTAAGGGAGAGTTGGGGAGATACTTTAATTCCTCACAATTTGGGTGTCGAATGTAGTGTTTAGGGCCTATTCTCATACGTTGAAATTCAGTTCAGTTTAGTTCAGTTAAGCTCCTAATTTCTTTCTCTTATAAAATATTCAGTTTAGTTCAGTTCAGTTCAGCTCAGCTAAGTTTAGTTTAGTTTAGTTAGTTCAGCTCAGCTCAGTTCAGCTCAGCTCAGCTCAGTTGAGTTCAGTTCAGCTCAGCTGAGTTCAGTCAATGAGAATAGACTCTTAGTCTTATGACTTTTGTAGTCTTGTGCAATACATTCCTATGCAATGCATTCCACTTCAATTATTCCAATTTTTGTCAAAGAAAAACGAGTTTCATAACCATGAAAGTATATAGGAAGACATGTTGGTGCTCTAAAACCTACAAGTTTTATTGTACATATCCTATTGATTGATAAGGTTATATACAAGTATCACAAATTCATGTGGCTAGTCACACCATGTGACCAACCATTTCGCTAGTGTTACACGGGTAAATTATCAGTGTTATAAGGGTTACTCAATCAATGTTATAAGGGTTACTGTTGTCCTTTTACAAGCGGCCACATAATATAACCAGTCGCACACAAGATACAATGTACATAAGTGCCATTTAAAAATAATAGACTCCATACTAATTCGTAATTAAATTCTTTTATTTAAAATAATAAAAAAAACTCTCCGGATTTAGTATCGTTACAAGAATGATTCCTGTATATAATTAAAGCATGTCCTTTTCAATAGCACCATACTAAAATTTAAGTCATTGAATCAATTATGCACACAATAAGACAAAATTGCACCATACCTTGACGTCTTATTGTTAAATAGTGCAATGTTTTTATATGTTTGAATTTCTCCTGTTCTGTTAGCTATATGCATTCACTATAACTATATCATGTGTTACGTACTTTGTTGATTTATATTTTATGGCTTCCAACTTGGTCAAGTAGCCAGGGAGTAGTATCTGGAACTAAACTAGCTTGCCACTTTGATTTTTATTTATGATTATTGTACTTGTTCTTGATCAATCATCGAGTTATACGACATCTTATTTTCTTCAACCGGATTGTTTTTTTTTTTTTTTTTCTTCTTTTTTTTTTTTTTTTTGCTGTTTAGAGAGCCACAAGGATCGGGATGAAAATCGATCCCAGGATTCCCTGAAATCGGGAGAGAAGCTCTAACCATTTGAGCTATCCCTCGTTCTTACCGGATTGATAATTTAAGATGTTTTTTTTTTTTCGTAGTTGAATGATTTGATATCTTCCGCAGGTATCGATTATCAATTAATTGACCTAGACTAGTTCAACTCTTTGTTTCGCATAAGAAATGATTCCTCTAATGTTTGATGAGCTAAAATGAAGTTCCTAGGAGCAGAGTTGTTAATATGGATGATAGATCGTATTCTTTTTGATTGGTGTATAGATAGCCATAAAAGACCGATACTAATAAATGGATCTAATGTAAACCTTGAGTTCTATACGCACAAGACTTTAACCAACTTATTACTGTATATACTTAAGTTCAGTACAGTTCAGTAAATGTGAACAAATCCTTAAACTGCATAAGCTAATTACACCGAAGATTTCAGTGTTACAACTATGATACAGTTCATATAGCATACAAATGCGGAACAAATAGAGTAAAATTGGTGAGTAATTGCTTCATTAACTAACAAGAAGAATTGCAGAAATAGGGTTCTGAGGAAACAATGAGATAGAGCAATTCCTCTGTCTCTGGCTATTATTGCTTCTTCTTGTCTGATGGCTTGTAGTTCAGTTGACAAAAACATCAGACGTGCTACTTTCACCTTTTATATTTTTTTTATTATACTTGTATATATTATATTGTTCAAAATTCCCTTAGAATTGGGTAATCTACAACAGTACAACTATATCTCAATAACTCAATTATAGAACTAATAGGATTAGATTGGCCAATTTAATTACTCCCTCTGTTTTACAATAGTTAACATGTTTGACTTTTTTTCACTATTCATATACTAACTTTGACCATCATATATATATATATATATATGAGGTCAAACTAGTATATTGGCCTGTGTGCCAAGTTTAATTATGTCAATTATTTTAAAACGGATGAAGTATATAGAGATATAAACTACGATAAAATCCTCTATTCCACCTTTTGTGTATCATATACAAGTATATGTCATTTGTATCAGTTGATATATTATTGGGTCATAGTAGTCATACCAAAATGAACCAATAAATAACGAAATATAAATACTACACATATACATGGTAAACAAAAAATGAGAGGGAGGGATCGGCGAATGAGAAGGTAACACACAAAGAATGCATGTGAAGAGTTATGGGTGGCCAATGGAGCCTATCGAGGTGGCAGTGATGTGGTGGAATGAATGGGTTGCTAAAGGAGAGATCGCGCCGGGTGGTGGGAGTGTGATGAGAGGTTTAAATGGTGGTCTTGGTGGTGGTGTTTGCGATGAAGATTTGAAGAAATATTAAGACAAAGCCGTATTACTTGACTACTTGTACACTCTTCCGTTGCATACATAAATTTTTATACTTGTACTACGTATATAAATTACTATACCCACAAACATTAGCTCCATGAATATGAATTGCTTGAATTAGGTTCAAGTCTACTTATTTTGATTTATTAGCTGAGAATGAGTTTGAGTTTGACAATACTAGTTAAATTTCAACATTTAGATTTGAATAAAGGTGATCATCAGGCTAAGTTAAATGACTTTAAGAGATGTCTTTTACAACATTCATTCTTAAATACTACTCTGTAGCATTATTTGGATTTCTACACGAATAACACATTAGACCTTAATTGTTAGATTCATCTCTATGAGACTATGACCGGATACTTTTAAATAGCAGCGAGCTTTCATTATATTTAGTCAGCGATATTAAAAGACAACACATTACATAAATTAGTTTGTAAGCATATAAATCCAATAGTAGTGAACAAATGAAAAAGAACAAGTATAAACTGTTTCTGTAGGGATCCGATGATCCAACTCCAAGATTCAAAGCTTGAGCATATAACCCGCTCTGCTCCTATCGGCCAGATGAGAATCTACACACAGAAAAGAGATTAGCTAGCCCCGGGGTGAATCTGGGGATAAGTCGGATAACCACTCCAATGACTAAGTCAGTAAGTGTTTAGAAAAAGAAGAGAGAGAATTTAGAGAGAGAAAGAAGAGAGAGAGTGTGTAATAAATGCTACCTTTGTTATGAGGTAAAACCGTATTATTTATAGCTTGATTAAGTAACAGGTGGCCATGTAATATGCAAAGTAATTTTCGCCACGTGTCAAATGTGAGGACGACACGTGTCAGCTGCCGACAAGCCGATATGTATACTTATTCCATAAATGCCGATATGAACCAGAATAGCTAATGAACCGGATCCGAGTAATATATCGGCCTACCATACAATATCGGTCTAATGTAAATATCTCCCCATACAACTAGCCCCCAAGGGAGGACGTTGAATACAGTTAACGTTCTCACTTTGAAGTATTACATATTTGCAATTGCTTTTTAACGTCATTAGCATAGTGTTTTCTTGCATTCTGTCGAGCATTTTTGTGTTATTGGTGTACGTGAATATTTAGGATGACTTCTGGTATATTGCTTTGTATTTGAAAAGTTAAAATTATGGGTATGTAAATTATTACCGATAAAGAATTGGAAACTGAAAAAGTATCGGCTAGAAAACTTCGGTTATTTTCCAAGTAACCTTGTTTGCCGTTAGCAAACAAGGTTTACTCTAATTACAACCTGGCTAGGAGCGAAAAAGTCCATTTTTCCTCCCAAGTAACCTTGTTTGCCGTTAGCAAACAAGGTTTACTTTAATTAAAACTTGGCTGGGAGCGAAAAAAATCCGTCCCCCCCCCCCCAAGTAACCTTGTTTGCCGCTAGCAAACAAGGTTTACTTTAATTAAAACTTGGCTGGGAGCGAAAAAACTCCGTTTTCCCCCTCAAGTAACCTTGTTTGCCGTTAGCAAACAAGGTTTAACTTAATTACAAGATTGGAAGTT